GAATGCCCGGGGCCCTCACCTGGCCTGCACTACCTGTGGCAGCCCTCACAGACATTTCCCCAGCTGGAGCCCATGTGGCCACCAGACTGGTCCTTGTGGTTCTTATCATGATTGTAAGATGCACCTCAGCAATAACCATCAGAGAATTTTGACAAACAAGTTTTATTACCATAGTTTGTGGAGGAGGGTAGATGGCACTCCTGGGCCACACAGCAAAGTCGCAGCTCAGGTAGAGACAGAGAAGACCTGGGGTCTGCTTTTACTGGGGTCCGGGGTGGGGTGCCTAGTAGTTTCAGTGTTCATTCTATTAGTGAATTTAAAGCATGAACGTGGGAATTAAAGAGCAGGAAGGGAAAAGCAGGGTCCCCACAAAAGGTTATTTATCAAGGTCAAACAAGTCTTTCTAAAATGGGAAAGTTCATGGGGTTGGGGGCTTGGCTTGGCTTTTTATGTACTTGTGTAGCTGGCAGTGTGTTTATTTCAGATGAATGTCTTTGAAATGAATGCCTTAGTAATCAAAATCTTAATGTCAGGCACTTATACTACTATCAAAAATTGTCATAATTTTCAGGCACTCATGCTAGAGAACTTTCCAGCACATTTTCGCAAAAATCCTGACACACACGCACCGTCATTTCATCTCAGCAGGTCACATAGCAGTTAAGTGGCAGGACCTGTATTTGAGTCTAGATCTGTTTGTTGCCAAAGTTCTTTTCAAGCATCATTCTGCACGATAACCAAAATTAAATTTTGCCAAGAATGGACACTTCCTACAAGAATATTTTAAAAGTACACCACACAACCTTCTTTAGTATGTTCTCATCCTGTGGATTTAAGTAAATACACAATAAACATTTAAACATGTTAAATTATATGACTAATTGGGTTTTTTGCTTTTCAGATGCAGCTGTTTTCTTGGTCACATGTTTAGAGTTGGTATACTCAATGTTGATGACTGCTTAGGAAACCAGAGCACATCGGTGCAAGGCCTCTGCCTGACCCATTTGCACACCTGCAGCTCTCTGCAAAGATGTGAAAGACACATCTGTCAAATAGAAACTGAAGATTGTAAATCTGCGCCCTGCAAAAATGGAGCAACAGGTACACATTTACTGGTTATTTCTTTGGCAAATGTTTCCCAGGATTTACAGGCAAGTATTTCTTGAAATCAAATTGTCTAGTGGATAAGGTAGTTAATACATTTATTTAACATATCTCAAATTTGTCTAATGATCAGTATTGTAGCTTGCTTTCTCATTTGGCAAAGTAAAAATATCTTCCCTTGGAATAATAGGATTGCTTCTTTGGGGAATTACATGGCTGACTACACAGCTTTGGCTCATGCAAATAAGGATACTAAGGCCAGGCTGCACCATTAAGAATATAATGTATATGTCAAAGGTCTGAAGAGAAAATAGGCAACCATAACCTCCCAATAATAGTGCCTAAACAGCTTCAATACCCTCTTCAACCTACTGTTTGGCTGCCTAATCAAACTGAGTGCCAAATTTTTCCTAGTTTAAAAACAAAATTTTGTTTCAGTATTTTTGAGGTCAGTTTAATGCCCTCACATTAATAAGATTAAAAAGAAAAAACCATAAAATCACAATCATACTATATTCTTTGTAAAATCATAGAGGACACATTTCACAGGGGCTACATAGTAAAAAGGCAGTTTTGATACAAAAATATCAGAGATTAAGCATTAAAATTTATGTTATTTGAGATTTTATGCTTGGTCTTACATTGAAGTGATGTTCATAATAATTTCAAAACTTATTTATTATAATTGCCTTATAAAAATCTGTATGGAGACAATACAGGAAGAAAACATAACTGTCAGTTTTAAATCACACCTAACTTTAAATAAAATAATGAAAAAATTGTCATGCAGTATGATATCCCATTTTATTAAGCAGACACAAATCTAGAAGCTATTTGTACTTCCATCTTAAAATGAAAAAATATTTTTCCTATTCAATATTTAAAGTAATATGCTGAAGATTTTGGCAGAAATTTAAAAAGATAAGTTCTAAAAATGGAAATGATGATATCATTGGAATAAACGTATGGCCATCCAGATTAGCATTTTAAGGATGAAAATATATTTGAGTGCAAAAATTCTGGTAAGTTTGCTAAAAAGTTTCTCCCATTACTTCACGTTTCACATTTCAAACATGTTTTTAGTAAAAATAAGAGCATAAAATGTGCTAGTACTGTTGAAATAGTTGTATCTGACTTAGAAAAAACATATACATATATTCATCTGTTTCTATCACATAGGGTATCTTCGAGAATTCAGTGAAAATACAATGATAATCAGCAATTATACATAAAATAGAATAAAGAATGAAACTTAACTCTTCTAATACCATTACTAAGAGAAAATGTAATTTGGTATTTTAATTATTTGTGTATATATGTATATATATATATGTATACACATTATCAATGAGCGATCTATTATTTTATATTTCAAGACTGAATATTATAGTTATCCATTATATGATCATTCAATATATATTATATGCACATTTTTCATATAGTTAAACCACACATTACATAGTACTTACCATTGGTATATACTAAAAATAATTCATATGACTTCCCAGCTGGGAATAAAAACATTCCATACCCATCTGAATTTTTTTCCAATCTGAAACACAAAGTTGTATCGGATTTTGATTTTTATTTCGTGGAGTAATAAAAAATTTTGAGTATTTACAATTTGAAATTATATTTGGAATACTTTTTACAGGCTTTTCATCATTTTTTTTTTTTTTTCTTCTGGGAAATGTGTCTTTACTTAACCACAGTTCTTATAAAGACAGTTTCACTTATCTCTTTCCAGGGAGATAACAGTATTATCTGCAAATAAGGATAGATTTAAAAAAATTACTTAATTTGTTTTATAGTACTGTTTGGTCAAATTTCTAGGATCAAGTACAATGCTAGTGGTAAAAGTGGTCATCTTCTTGTTCCTGAATTTCATGGGACTTTGTGTCTCCATGCTGCATGGTGTTGGCTTGGTATTAAGTAGATAATAAATAAGGTGGAATCTTTCCATTTCCAATTTAAAACATTTTAAATAGAAATAAAGGGGAAAGTAATAATATGGCACAATAGCCATTTGATAGAGTAATATTTGCTTTCATTTACTTTTATAATTTTTAAATACTTTTGTATAGATATACAATAATGGACTTTTATGTGTGTTTATATTTATTTCTTTTTAAAATATTTATTTAAAAACTTTTGTCAGTTGCTTGTGCTTTACTTCCAAAGGACACTTCAAGATCATGATTACTCTTTTGCTTTGTGCTTCATCTCCCATGAACCAGTCATTTTTGTCCCATTCCCACCATCACTCCCTAAAAGTTTATGTGTGTTTCTAGAAAATTTGTGTTCAGTGTTACAGTTTTGTGCTTATTTTACACAAATATGTGGAAAACTCTTCTTACTCTGTACTCTGAAATATTTAAAATAAACTGGGTTGAAAGGATGAAAAAATTCCTTAGGGTTTACCAACCAATCAACAAAATAAATATTTCTGCTTATTACTTTTAGGAAGGTTAGTTGTTCTCTAAACTTCTTACACTTTCCAGGGCTTTATTGAGTCAATTTACTAATTTACATGACCTGAGATAATTATTAAAATCATTGGCATTTAAATAATAATTTTATCTGAATTAATGTTTATTTCTTAATTTTATTCTGATTTTTGTATGTATGTGTGTTTTCTTTCCAATTAGAATAGAGTTTATACAATTATTTTTATTTTCAAGGAAATTACTCATATATTTAACAATTCTCAAGATTTTTCTGCTTTTTTTATTTAATACTATATACATTTAATTATAGAATTCCTTTCTCTAGCTTTACTAAACTTTCCAATGTCTTGCTCTTTGCTTTCTTTACTTTTTATTTCTTTGTTGACCTTTAGGTAATTTAAAAATTATCAAATTTTCTTTGTTATTTGGTAATGCAAAATTAGAGGCTAGAGATTTTACTCGGGTATTGTTTGCTTGTACTCTAGAAATTTGATATGCAATTTTTTTGCAGTGTTTTCTAAGTAGACTGTTATTTCAGGCTTGATTTCCAGTTTCATCCATCAGTCAATATGGCATTTTAAGTTATGCTTTCTGAGTTACTTGGCAATTTTGTTTATTCTTTGGTTATTAATTTCCAGTCACTGCATCATTAACACAGAACAGGGTCATCGATAATTGCTATTTGGTATATTTTTTTCTTTTATTTTGAAAGTATATAGAGAAGTGAAATCATCTTTTTACAGTTTTCCCAACTGTAGGGGATTACAAGTAGCTACTGAGAGTCTGAAGGGAAAGGGGCTAAGAAAAATCCCTACAGTCAAGCAGAAACAGTGTTGTAGTTTGTTAGTAGTCCATGTATTCAGGACAAAAATAAGGAGTGTTGGATTCATACGACTTATCTGCTATCATTGGCTTAGCATATCACAGTTCTTATAAGAATAATGCTTGGACATTTGGACATAATATATATTGTCTGTGAATATTCTTTAAAACTTCTTTTTCTGTGATTTAGGTTTGGGATAAGACTAATCCTAGGAGTTTTTCAGGAAAGGATTTTTAGGTGCCATTTCAGATGTAACAAATCCAAATGTTTGGAAGTAGTATTCAAGAACAAAAATGATTCAGTTTGTAATTCGAACACCCGTGGGTCTTTGATGGAATGATTCTCCTATATTTCTTCATGGATGTAAACTTACAATTAAATATAAATGGGTTTACATACTTTGTCATTCCATTTCCCCATATTAATTGATATTTACACACACCTTCACTACTCTTTACATGCTTACCTTATGGGTTATAAATTTTTAATTACCTTATTATATTTTAATAAAAATCAGTACCTGTACCACATTCCAGACCATACACAGACCTTAAACATTTGAAGCACATCTAACTCTCTCTAGATAGCTACATATTTTGTATATGTTGTTCTGCATATATTTAAAACTATTCAAGACATTATTATTATCATTTTATACACTCAATACTTATCTATACTTATCCACATTTTGTCATTTTATTTCTTTCCTATATCTCCAAGCTTCCAACAGATTTCTTTTTATCAAACGTATGATAATCACTATTTAGAATATCATTTTCAGCTTTTCTGCTGGGATGAATTCTCCATTTACTATTTGTCTGAATGTATTTTTAGTTCACCTTTATATTTAAAAGATGTTTTATGTTAAGGGATCAGCAAATGAGTTAAATGAAGGAAGGAACAGTAACTACAAGTTAAATATCTTTACAGTAATGTATTTAAAGATGTATGTTTCTGTATGTTTATATTGCATATATATATATATATATATACATACACATATATGTATATGTATGTATCTATCATCTATAAGTCTATTTATCTATCTATCCTTCCTGTGATATTGCTAGCCCTATAATATATTTGACTCCTGTTTATCAGCTCCTATGTTCCTATTTTTTATTTTATAAAGCATATCGTGTCACAGAGAATTTAACAAAAGGCTCAGACAGCTGAGATATCAAATGATTCACACAATTTATGCCACAACTTGAGCCATTCACTCCAGGTCTCTACTTATAGAATTCCATCATATTTTAAGTTTGAGGCTTCTGTATACTGATTATGTTCTAAAAAGCAGAAAATGGGGATGGGGTCAAAATATTTAACAAATCAAAAACTTCAAATATTTTAAGATAATTATTCTCCCATAACAATTTATTCTCAATTAGCAATTAATACATATTTAGACCTATTAATAATAGGGGAATAATAGTGGGAATAATAGTTCTGGACTTTTGTTTCCTGAAGCTTGATCTAACCAAATAAGAGCAATAGAAACGTATTTGAGAGGTAATAATAAAGAAAATGCTATGGAAAAAAGACAGATGTTCTTTACTCTGGAAGATTCTTATCTGTCCTTTGCAGATTTATATTGAAACTTCTTCCAAAAAAGACAAAAAAGCATAATTGATCAGAGAATATGTGACTTTTAAAATGACAAAGGAATTGCAGCCTCAGTGAAAGTAGCCTGTGTTATTATGACTGGACGGCAGCTCTTTAGCTCCAGAATTTTCTTTCAAGTTCTGATTTCATTTTAAATTGTGATTTTCCCTAATTCATTAAAATGCAA